TAACAGCTTTATAGTACGGTTACGTTAAGGCATGGAGAGAAGAAGCACTATAACCATAAAGTTGATGCTTACAGTTTCGCCATTGTCTTGTGGGAACTCATTCTCAACAAGTTACCATTTGAAGGCATGTCGAATCTACAAGCAGCCTATGCTGCTGCATTCAAGGTAACAACTCAGCTTTTAATCCCGGATAAATTGATCTGAAAGACTGAAACAGAACCGAAAGAAGTGATACCAGAAACCGAACCACATCTTAAAACGGATTCCAAACCGAACTGAACAAAATTGAAATGAAATTGAAATTTCTTTGAAAAGTAAATGGGTGGGCAATCCCGGTTTACATTTTTTCGTTTTGGTTTGTTTTTTTGGCATTCAGTTTATAGAAGAATATGGTTATGCACATTCCTAAAACTGATGACATATTTGGTAGAAAGCTGAATTTAAAACAAAACCTTGGCAAACTGATCTATATACTAAATTAAGCTTTGCTTTAATTACGATTCATGATTCAAAAGCTTGAAAACCCCAAATCTAAACCAAACCGAAACTCGGTTTGAAACACCCTTGTATCTTTGCTATGGTCTCTTTGCATTTGATCTTTACTAATTTGAAAGATCCTTCAGATTCTTGTGGAAAAAATGTTCGTTTCTTGGATAAGAATTCGAGTTAATAGCGATGATGAATTCGATGTTGTGAGACTAGCATAGTGACTAATTTGTTTATGTTATTTCCCGATAGAACTTGAGGCCGAGTGCCGAAGATTTACCAGAGGAGTTAGGGATGATTGTGACTTCGTGCTGGAAAGAAGATCCTAACGAAAGGCCAAATTTCACGGAGATTATTCAAATGCTACTACGTTACCTCTCCACTGTTTCGCCTCCACAGATCATCCCTCCTCCGGTTAGACGAGTTTTCTCGTCGGAAAACATAGTTTTGTCACCGGAATCTCCCGGAACTTGCTCTCTGATGGCTGTGAGAGACAAAGATGGTTCTGTTCAGACCGTAAACACTGCTGATTCGTCGGAGAAACAAACAAAAGGAAGCTTCTTCTTCTGCTGCTCATAGATGATGATACCATTAATGTTTTCGTTTTGTAATTTGTAAAGGAAACGAGAACAAGTGTTTATTTTAAAAAAATGTATAATGTATGTATTATTGTTCTATGAATGTCAACAATAGCTTAGAATTTTAGATCACATTAACGAGAACATTATTGGACTTGTTACATATATTTACGTTTTTTTTGGTGTATTTCTAGTGCTATATATAGGTGAATTTAATAAATTTCAAAAAGGGTGGAAAAAATAAAAAAAATTACGCCGTTGCCGGGGATCGAACCCGGGTCACCCGCGTGACAGGCGGGAATACTTACCACTATACTACAACGACTTTGTTGTTTGGGATGAAGAAACAAAATATATAAAACTTGAGTGTTAAAAATCGTCTTCTAAAACCCTGAAAATTGAAACCCTTGCGGGACCGTAACAAATTGTTGGGAAATTTTGCCATTTCTTTCTTCTTGTGATACTCTTCTTCTTCACTTGCAGAAGCCAAATGTTCGCATCGAGGAGTCTCTCGAGGCATTGCTCGAGAACTTGTAAATGGTCTTTATCTTCCCTTCTTCAATCCGATTCCTCCAGGTAATTTTCAGATTCCGAATCCTAATCATTTTCCACCTCTGATCTCGTTTTCTCTATGATAGTTGCGATTTTACCCAATACCCATCTCCCAGATTCGTGTAAATCCCCCAAATTTCTTAGCTTTTTTGTGCCTAAATGATTGGTTTTGTTGGAATTTGTAATCCGAATCGTGAAGATTAATCCTCTTGTTTATGTTTTTCTGATTTTGATTTTGAAGGAATCTGGTTTTATCATCGAATCCGGTTACAAGTAATGTGATGATGCAGCCCGGTAGCTCTAATGAAGCCAATTCCAATTCACTGATGAATCAAGCTTTCAAGGGATGGTCTCGAGCTATGTCAACTTCGAGAGGAAGGACCATGAGGAGTAAAGTGGAGAGTAGAATGCGTAAAGAGTCTGGTAAGACGTTAAGAGAGATTAGGAGAGCTAAAAAGTTGAAGAAGAAACTCATGACTGATGAAGAAAGGCTCATTTACAACCTCAAAAGGGTATATTCATCAATCATTCACTACTTCGTTTGCCTTCATATGTGTTAAAGTTTGGGGCTTTATGTGTGATTGCTTATTGTGAATAGGTTGAGATAGTGTGGTTGAATTGCTGATGTTTCTCTTTGCTTTTCTTGAAATGTTCTTGTATGTTGAATTTGATGCAGGCAAAGAAGAAAGTTGCGCTTTTGTTGCAAAAGCTCAAGAAGTATGATCTCCCTGAGCTGCCATCTCCTGTGCATGATCCCGAGCTTTTCACGCCCGAGCAGACACAAGCGTTTAAGAAAATAGGTTTCAAGAACAAAAACTACGTCCCTGTTGGTGTTCGTGGAGTCTTTGGAGGAGTGGTCCAAAATATGCATATGCACTGGAAGTTTCATGAGACGGTGCAAGTTTGTTGCGATAACTTTCCTAAGGAAAAGATAAAAGAGATGGCAACCATGATAGCGAGACTGAGCGGCGGGGTAGTCATAAATATACATAATGTAAAAACTATTATTATGTTCCGTGGTAGAAACTACCGGCAGCCCAAGAACCTAATCCCTGTCAATACCCTCACAAAACGGAAGGTACCGTATAAATCGAAGATTTAAGGTTTCAGCTTCTTGATTCTTCCTTAAAATTGAGCCTTTGGTGGTACGACATTAATACTTTAGTTGATATCAGTAGTAGAAATGAGACTTTGGTTGATCTAGACTATCCTGGTTAGGGTAATGTTTCTTACATACCTGCTCAAAGCTTAAAGCTTCGGGTAAGAAACTCTTTAGGTTTAGGATCTGTGAATCATTAAGTGTGGCTTGCTCTAACGGTTATTATGTCGTGGTATGGTATGAACAAGTATCTATGTTTTGCAGGCTTTATTTAAAGCGAGATTTGAACAAGCCCTTGAATCTCAGAAGCTGAACATAAAGAAAACAGAACAGCAGCTACGGCGAATGGGTGTTAACCCTGAAGATCCAGTTGCCATGGCTAGCATCCATAGAGTGGCCTCAACATTCTTCAATGCAATTGACAAAAAGGAAGGAAGCCCGTATGTGTTCCATGGAGATAAACAATCAGAACGAGGGGATAACGTCGCAAATACAGAAGAATCAGAACCGGCTGATGAAGATAGTGACCAGGAGGAGCTAGACAGATTCATATCTGAGATAGAAGAAGCAGCAGACAAGGAGTGGGAGGAAGAGGAAGCTGCAGAGCAAGAAGAATCTGGTAGAATAAGGTATTGGAACCGAGAAGAGTTTGCAGGAAGAAGCAGAGGACCTGAAATGCGTAGTTATGGAGACTCAAGTCATGGCTTTAGAAGAAATGAAAGGGATACACGTAGCCAGAGGAGATC